TTCCACATTTCACCTAAAGATTCCTAAAATAAACTCTTCATATTTAACAAATGTAAATGGTTAGTGAGATGTGTACTCTTTCTTTACTCGCCACCTGATCAGTGAGCCCAGGGTACATGCCCGGAAACTATGCCAGACAGAACTGTAGAACCATTTTTCAATATCAAATCTTTGTTTCCAAATTACGCAAAACCTAGACTTTGATTTTCCTCATTTACTTCAAATTATATATTTCAGGCTATTCACCCAATGGCACATTATACGGGAGTAAAACCAAATAAAGCAATAAACAGCAATATGGGTAAATCCTAACAATAAGTTAAACAGTAAATTCCAAAGATTACATACCACATATTACCCATTTCTGTAAAGCTAAAACAACCATAATTACAATTTATCATTTTTTAGGGTTAGGGACACATATAAACATAATAAAACTACATAAGTAGGACAGAAGGGAAGTGACAAACAATGGACCAAAGCCATGGATTACCATTTGTGGGAAGAAACTGGAAGATGGGATAGAGACACATAGCTAGATTAGATTTTACACCATTAGATAAAGGTTATTATCAAGGACCTAGCTTTGTTCTTGGATGCCAAATTCATGGGTGATAACTGCATTATTAAAAATAACTGTTATCAATCTGTGTATCAGCCAAGATCCATTCAGGAAAACAGAAACCACACCAATTATTTTAACAGACAATTTAGTATCAGAAAGCAGTTAAATAAGTATCTGAGGAATTAAAAAGCCAAAGACACAATGAAAGGAGCATAGCTATAGTAACTGCATTAATCAGCTACTATCCTTAGGACTGGAAGAATAAAAGAAAAAGATCAGGATTATAAGAATCAAGAAACTCAGAGGAGGGGCCTTGTGGAGTCTGAGGAGGGGGCCCTACCAGACTTGGGCTAGCCTCTCTGTGGAGGTACAATAAAATTGGTTTTGAAAATGCTAGAAGCTAAAAACTGGAATCAACTGACTTTGTCAGGGTGAGAAACCACTGTTGAAGCAATACTGACAGGAACAACAAGCAAAACAGAAAAGTCCCTTTACCATCCTCCTACTCTCTGTTTTCTCTCTGCAGTCACCTATTGGTGGAACATAACAGGGAGCCAGCTGGTCAAGGAAGAATATGATTAGCAAAATCCTAGCCCCAGAAAAATGGTAGACAATGGTATGTTTGGCACTGAGAGACAAAAGCTTACTAACTGGCATGGACAGGTAGGCTAGGTTATACTGTTCCGATGAGTCAAATTCTCTAAGACAATGAAAGTATATGTCCTGTCCATTCTCCATATCCAGTGCAGATCAGTAGGGAGAATCCATTCATCAGAGCACTCAAAGACCTGGGTTAGAAAGTTTCCACAATCACCACAGGAGTGGGAAAGTTGTATGGATCATACACTTGCTTTTAATGCTTCTGCTCAGAAATATTTCATATCATATCTGGTCATGTATTGTTAGTCAAAGCAAGTCCATAACCATGCCAAAATTCAGAGGGTATGGGGAAGTACAGTCTATGCCCAAAAGGCCAAGAAATGAATAAAAATGGTCCATTCATGGACAAATAATGAGCATGGGTCATAAACCAAGAATTACAATTAATCCAATTCCAGGAACCTGAAGTAAACACTCATACACACACACACACACACACACACACACACACACACGCATGCATGCGTGCACATGCTTCATAAATATACTCCAACTTCAGGGTGCCTGGGTGGCTCAGTCAGTTAAGCGTTCAACTTCAGCTCAGGTCATGATCTCACAGTTTGTAGGTTCGAGTCCTGCATCTGGGCTCTGTGCTGACAGCTCAGAGCCGGGAGCCTGCTTCAGATTCTGCGTCCTCCTCTTTCTCTGCCCCTCCCCCACTCATGCTCTGTCTCTCTCTGTCTCAAAAATAAATAAACATTTAAAAATTTTTTAATAAAACAAACATACATCAACTTTAAATTAAAACCTTGTCATGTTACAATAAGTAACATGTGTCACAAGTTACAATAAGTTTCATGTGTCTGTTGACCATCGGATGTTGTCTTTGGAAAAGTGTAGGAGACAAAATTCTTTTAAAAAGTTTATTTATTTTAAGAGAGAGAGGGAGGAAGAGAGTGGGAGCAGAGGAGGGACAGAGAGAGAGAGGGAATCCCACGCAGGCTCCATGCTGTGAGTGCAGAGCCTGATGCAGGACTTGAACTGACGAACCATGAGACCACGATCTGAGCAGAAATCAAGAGTTGGATGCTTAATCAACTGAGTCATGTGCCCTTACAGGTCAAAAATTTAGAGATAATGTTGCAGGTATGCAATCTGTGATTAAACTATCTTGGAGACTAGGTATATCTCACTGTGGCTCCTATGGCCTAAGTCAGCCTGTATCCTAAGTTTAGCCTGTATCCTTGAGGCAGTCAGGTACACAGAATGGTAGACAGCACATACCTGTCAATTTCACACTTCTAAAAATAAGTCTCTTGGAAGAAACAGAAAAATGTGGAAAGGCTTTCATTTTCCAGTCTTGAGAACTACTGTCCCACCCTCTTCTACTTTTTAGCCAGAATATAGACAATAAGACAATCCAGATGAGCCAAGGTATAGCTCAGGCAAGTGCGTTTGTGAGCAAAGGATCTGCTAATGAGCAGTCAGACAGCTATGGTGTGGTAAAAAAATCTTAAAAATGGCCTTCTCCCAAACTCACAGTGTTGACCCCCTAAATCCTATCCTGAGCTTATATGTAGACTTGAAATAGAGGGGAATTTATGCAAGAAGGGAGGGGTTCTAATGACCAGAGACCCCAGTACTTCCTGGCATCCCCCAGTCTTGTCCCTAATAAGACAAGATCGTTTTAGTTCTCAGGTTCTTCTCAGAATGCCTATTTTACAGGCATTAGTCCATGGCATCATTTCTTTTCAGCTGATCATCTTCCTAACACAGCACCAGCAGGTATAGCTTAGGTGCCATGTTTTGCCGGACTTTTCAGGTGGCAGAAACCCAGTTCAAACTGCTTAGGCAGGAAAAGTCCATTTTGACTCAAACCTGAAAATGTGTCTGGCATGACTAGGTTCAAAGATTCAATAATGTAGTCAGGAATCTGGCTCTGCTCCTCTTTGATCTGCTATCTTCTTCTTGGCTTCATTCTCAGGCAGGCTCTTCCAGTATCGTGGCAAAGGTGAGCACCAGCAGCTCCAGTTCCGCTCTGCCAGGTTAGGAGTCCCAGAAGAAGAGAGCATACCTCTTTCCCAAGAGCTCCAACAAAATTCAGGGCAATGTGGCTCTCATGACCAAATCCTGAGCCATATAAGGAACCAGGGTCATGGTCAGCTTTGCCCATACCACTTGGGCTATGAGTGATGAATGGTAAGTGTACAAAGAACAATCATGGAATGGATATACAAGCAAAAACAAAAACAAAAAACAAACAAAATCAATATATGCCCAGTACCAGGACAGATGATTTAGGGATGCAGCTGAACTAAGAGTGCTCAGGCAATGTCCAAACAGTCCCCAAGGCCCATTCAATAACACAAAAATGCAGCAAAAAAAAAAAAAAATTAAGATGTAGTAAAAGGTAAATAAAACAGTAGACTGCTTTATTTTTAATAGCATGGAAAGAAAAAAGGGATAGAGGGAGGAAAGAAGAGATGGAGAAAGGGAGGGAGGAAAAGAGGGAGAGAGGGACCAAACTAGATTCAAAGCTTAAAAAAAAAAAGTAGACTCTATGCTCCATGGCTGAAATTTTCAGAAGCCCTGAACCTGCCCCAGGATTACTATGAAATCCTGGGATGTTAGTGTTCTCAAGGTGAAGTCATGAGATGACTGTGCTTCCTTTTGCATTCTGTACAATCCTTGTCACACCTTGACTTCTACCCCCAGCATCTTTCTTTGCACCAACAAAGGCAAACAGTTTAAGGCAGCCTTCCCAGATCTCATGGCCTGTGGGTATTGGCTGTGACACTCCAACTGTTCAGGGCCAAGGAATCTGTCCTTTGGATTTCCCAAATCTGCAGCATTGACCCAGGAATCTCTGGTGTCTCAGTGCACACTCCTGCCCCCATAAAAGCAGTGATGGGGGCATCTCCGTTCCCTCTAGAACACAGCCCTCCATCTCCCACCTATAGCCCCTCTCTCCACAGGGTTTAAACTCAAGTCCCTAAACTAGCAGGAGAACCAAAGCTGAGGCAAGTGTCACACTGTCCTCCCCGCCTACCCCTAGTCCTTCAGGAAAAATTTCTCCTTCCTTCATCAAGCAAAATTCTTGCAGCAAGTTTGTTCAAACAGGTCCACCTTCCATTCTCTTACCAGGTGAATAAACTTTCCCAGACACTATTGAATACCAGCTTGGACCCAAGCCAGAATTTCTGATAAGCACTGACAAATATCAGACTGTCTCCCTAGCTGTATATGAAAAGTTTCTTTTGGAGTTGTATTTTGACATAGGATCTTCCTAGATTTATTCCCTTATGTCATTATGAAACACTTAACAACTCTGACTTCTTTCTCAAGTATCTCATCCATTAACTAACTATATGAGGAATCCTTAATTTACCACCAGAAATGCCAGATTGCATTTTGCCCAAATAAGGTCTTTTCTTATCATTGTTTTGCCTTCCTTTTTTATCATTTATAATCTTCAGTACGTTTTGCTTCCATCGGGGTCCACAGCCCCAGCCCAGATTATCATTTGTTTTGCTCTATCTCTGCATCTCCCTCTCCTTGCCCAACTTTTGAAGTCGTTACACTTAGAACATAGCACCAAAGTGGACGTCACCAATTCCTTCAGTGCAGCTGCATCAGCAAATACCTTTGAATGTTTTGGTCCAAAAGCTCATAAAGCAAATAAAATTAAGGTTCAGACTCATAGTACAAGGGGATCTTAGAACAGCCTACTTAACCTACCTAGAATGGATCAAGTCATCCTAGAATGGACCAAGGAAGGTATAGGGCTGTAGCTCACCCGTGAGTCATATGGGCTGAGTAGAAAGGCTGGCAGCACGGCACTAAATAAGGAGCAATGATAAAAGGAACTTCAAAGTAGTCCAGGTTTCCAGACACTGTGCAGAACACAGAAGCACAACTTTTGTTCCACGCATATTAAAGTAAAGAAACAATAAAAACTAGAGAAGCTGTTACCTATAAAACCTAAAAGGCACATTGTCCTTTTGAAGAAAATGACAGACAAGGAGGAAAAATTAGAGAACTACTTACTTTCTTTCTCCTCCGATGTCCTGAAGTAAGCTAGAAACAGCTTCCTAGAGCTCTCATTCTCTACTTTACAATGTTCTAATGAAATGTCATGCTACCAAGTTACTTAATGTCCCAGCTCCAGTGCCTCATCAGCATTCACCAGGGAGACTTTGGCAAGCAAAAATCGAGCAGCAAATCTTTGGAGACTGAGAAAAACCATATTTATTGTGATTAGAAATAGAGATTCTATAAAAAGAAAAATTAAAGACCAAGAACTTTAATCAGAACTAAATCAGATGTTTGATAGGGCTAATCATAGAACGCAGATTTTAGCTCTGTAGAGATTAACCGGGACTTCAGAATGACCTATGGTTCAGAGTCTTCCCAGAGAGCACCAGAAAGATCTGTATGTAGATAGAAATCTATGATGGAGTCATGAAGAGTTCAGATTCCACTCCCTGTGGAAGACATGGGAGAAAGCAACCAGAGATGGTCTCCTCACCTGGTTTCTTGAGTAAATTTCTTACCTGCTTTGTTCTTCATTGTCCCTGCACAACTTCCCCTTGTTAGACAACAAAAAAATTTTTTTTAAATAAAAGAATGAAACCTACACTTTGTGGGTGCCTTGAATATGTATTTAACAAATAGCTATTGGTTGGAAAAAAGAAAAAAGGGAAGGAGAGATGGAGGAAAGGAGAAAAGGAGGGAAGGAGCAAAAGAAAGAGAAAAGGAAAAAGGGAGGGGAGAAGAAAAAGTAATAAACTCAATATTCTTCATGTTTCATGTAAAAAAAATTACCACTTTTACTTTCTAAAGGAAAAAAAACATGACTAGTAATATATTTTATCCTGACTTATTAATTTATGGCCATTTAAAATGTATAAAGATAAATATTAGATCATTTTTCTTAACACTTAACACAACACATTTATTAAGAAGGACAAAATTAAACAAGAACAGAACTGTTCTAGGAAGTTTCGATGTATAGTCTTAGAGCCCAAGGAAGCAGAAATGTCTAAGTATTCCATGAGAGAATGGCTGTGAAGTGATTTTGCAGAGCCTTTTCCTAAAGATTATGAGAATTTTTGTTCATAATTTATGCTCAGCTTTCTAGTCTAACCTAAAACAGGCACCATAAAGTGCTCACAAAAACTTGATCACCTCTACATCCTACACTCTTCTTTCTTTCAAAGGTTACCTTGCTTTAAGGAGCAAAGTAAAGTGCTTTCTCAAGTATTTATTAGAGGTAATCCAACTATGTTTCAAAGTTAGAGGAAAATATTATTTCCTGAGTTTCTGAAAAGCAAAGCCATGGGCAAGAAATGTAAGTTTCAGACTTTGGAAATACAAGTAGCAAAGGCAAACATTCTGATCAGTTCATTTTCTGAATTTGGCTTTAAAAGTTCAGATTTGAGGTTTGTCAGCCCTCTGCATTCCTCTTATCACAAGTAGATAATATTTATTCTAAAGGAGGCCCAAGTCACTTAAAGTTTTATTGGTTAGGTTTAACATTGTGAAAAATATAGAAATAAACTTCAGGGAAAGCTGTGAATTACAAGACATATGTATAAATTCATTCACAACTCCTCCTCAATTATTCTATGGCAGCAATGGAAACTTAAGAGAAGTTGAAATCAGGGATTACACAGGCCTTAAAAAAATGAACAATAAGAAAAACAAAAACAGCTCCAGTTGGGCATGGAAGGAACTTAGAGGTTGCCATTTCATCCTAACAATAAGTAAAAGCTGAACACACTGAAAAGTCAACAAGTCTTCTTAGATCCATCAGAGAAGTGATTGACAAGGCAAACCACTGCCCTGAAAATTGGAGAGACTAATGGAGAATCACAACCTACTGCAGCAGAAACCACCATGGGAGTCAGAGCCAGGAAACCCTGAACTATAATTGATGGATTGCTGGAGGTTCAGCGTGGATCGGTCAGAGTTAAAAACTCCAGGGGGGATCAGCAAGGGGGTTCCCACACGTTTGTGAGTTTTACCTCCAGGAGCTCTACCAGAGCCTCACAGTGAATACCAGAGAAAAATTCCCTCGTGCTTCTAGCAAGGAGGAGGGAATGGGAACCAATTTGAAAAACACAGAATATTCTGTTTTTCTTAGCAAGGTCTGCCCTCAGGATAAACAGTTTTACCAGAAAAATCGAAAAACATTTTACAATTTTAACCTGCTGAGGATTTATCGGAGCCTAACCTACCTGGGAGAAGGGAAATATCCACTTCAGCAGGGCTCGAGCCTCCTGAGGGAAGGATGATACCCAATTCTAGCCCCTTCCAGCCACCCTGTCCCAATTAAGGGTTTGGGGAGGGACTGAAAAGCACAGGTAAAGTTCACAGTCCACTGGCAAAGGCTCACCAGAAGACTGAGACCTAATCATAGGACTATAGAACACTTCCCCTCCCCCACAGCTCACCACTACATTATTAAAGATTTATGCAACACAGTTCATTTTACCAAGTACACGTCCACCTTTCAACAAAAAAATTATAAGGCATACCAAAAGGCAACACACAGTTTGATGAGACTGAACAAGCACCAGAATTAGAATCAGATATAGCAGGAATGTTGAAATTATCACACTAGTAATTTTTTTTAACTATGATTAATATGCTAAGGATTTTAGTGGGGAAAGTAGATAACATAAAGAAGAGATGCATAATGTAAGTAGAAAGATAAGAATTCTAAAAAGGAATTGAAAATGCTAAATATCAAATACACTCTGACAGAAATGAAGAATGCCTTTGATGAGCTCAACAGTGGACTAAACATGCTGAGACAGAGTCTCTGAGCTTGAGAATATGACAAGAGAAACTTCCCTACCGAAAAGCAAAGAGAAAAGGGACTTAAAAAGCAAGGAACAGAATATCAAAGAGGTGTTAAGATAACAATAAAAAGTGTAACACACACATTAGGGACATACCTGAAAGAGAAAAAACAGAGAAAGAAACAGAAGGAATATTTAAAGCAATAATGATTGATCATTTCCCTAAATTAATATCAGGCACAAAAACACATATCCAGGTATCTTAGAGAACATCAAGCAGAATAAATCCAAAAAAAATTGCACATAGGCATATCATATTCAAAGCTCTGAAAATCAAAGATTAATGAAAATATTCAAAGAAAAGAAAAGGAAAAATATCTTACCTATAGAGGAGCAAGATAAAAATTACATGCAACTTCTCTTCAGAAATCAAACAAGCAAGAAGGTAAAGTGAAATATTTAAAGTATTGAGAGAACAAAACCTTCAACCTAGAATTCTGTACCCCAGGAAATTAACCTTCAAAAGTGAAAATGAGGAGTGCCTGGGTGGCTCATTTGGTTGAGTGACCGACTTTGGCTCAAGTCATGATCTCCCAGTCCGTGGGTTTCAGCCCCATGTCCCGCTCTGTGTCCAACAGCTCAGAGATTGGAGGCTGCTTCAGATTCTGTGTCTGTCTCTCTCTACCCCTCTCTCACTCACAGTCTGTCTCCCTCTCTCTTTCTCAAAAATAAACATCAAAAAAAAAAAAGTGAAAAAGACATAAAGATTTTCTGAGACAAACAAAAATTGAGAGAATTTGTTGCCAGTAGACTACCTTACAAGAAATGTTAAAAGAAGTTCTTCAGAGAGAAGGAAAATGCCAGAAAATTTGGAACTACATAAAGAAAGGAAAAACATGAGAAAATGAATAAGCAAAAGTAAAATAAAACTTATATTTGTCTTAGTCTTAAAGGATCTAACAGATAACAGTGTGATCAAAATAATAATAGCAAAAGATGTATTAGATTATATAGATACATATATATTAGATTATATATATACATAATATAGATACGTATATATTATGTACGTATAATCTATGATCACGTATAAGTGAAATGAATGACAACAATGATATAAGAGATGGGAGGGAAGAATTTGACAGATTTTTTTCATTATAAGGTACTGGCAACTACCCATGAAACACTATAGTGTTATTTGAAAGTGGACTTGGATTAGTTGTAAATGCATATCGCAAACCCTAGGACAACACCTAAAATAAAGTAAAAAGAGAAGTACAACTGATGTGCTAAGAAAGAAGAGAAAGTGGAATCATATAAAACGATCAATAAAAATCACAAAAAACAGAAAAAGAGTGGAAGACAAAACTAAGAACAAAGAACAAGGACCAGACACAGAAAACAGTAACATGTGGTAGATACTAATCCAGCTATAACAACAATCATTTTAAATATCAATGGCCTAAATACACCAATTGAAAGAAATTATTGCAGTGGATCAAAACACAAGACCCAGCTATATGCTATCTACAAGAAACCCACTTTAAATATAAAGGCACATATAGATTAAAAGTAAAGGGATAGAAAGATATATACTATGGTAATGCTAATCAAAAGAAAGCAGGAAGGGGTGCCTGGGTAGCTCATTCAGTAAAGCATCTGACTCAGCTCAAGTCATGATCTCAAGGCTCATGAGTTCAAGCCCCATGTCAGGCTCTGTGCTGACAGCTCAGAGCCTGGAGCCTCCTTCAGATTTTGTATCTCTACCTCTCTCTGCCCCTCCCCAGCTCATGCTCTGTCTCTGTCTCTGTCTCTCTCTCTCTCTCTCTCTCTCTCTCTCTTTCTCTCAAAAATAAGTAAACATTAAAAAAAAATTTTTTTTATTTAAAAAAAAAGGGGGGGAATAGCTATATTAATGTCAGAGCTGACTTCAGAGCAAGAAAAATTATCTGGGAAATACACTATTGTTATGTAATAATAAAGAAGTCACTTTTCCAAGAAGACATAGCAATCTTTAATTTGTATGTGCCTAACAACAGAGCATCCAAATACGTGAAACAAAAGCTGATAGAACTGTAAGGAGAAATAGATGGATCCTATTATAGTTAGACACTTTAACACCCACCTATCAGAAATGGACAAAACGAACAGGCAGAAAATCAGTAAAGACATACTTGAATTCAAAAGCATCATCGATCACTGGATATAATGGACATCTATACACTACTTCATCCAACAGCCCAATACACCTTCTTCTCAAGCTCACATGGAACATTCACTAACATGTATCACATTCTGAGCCATAAAACACAGCTTTATTAATTTAAAATAACAATATTTATACAAAGTCTGCTCTCAAACCACAATAGAATTAAACTAGAAATTAATAACAGAAAGATAACTAGGAAATCATAGAAAATATGGAGAATAAACACTATACCTCTAAATGACACCTGAGTCAAAGAAGAAATCTCAAGAGAATTTTAAAAATATGTTTAACCAAATGAAAATAAAAATACAGCTTGTCAAAATTTGTGGAATTCAGCAAAAGCAGTGGATCATAAGCCTAAAAAATTACAAAACTAGAAGATAACTAAGGATAAAATCTAGATAATCTTGGGTGTGGCAATATTTTAGAGTCAACAAAAAAGGCATGATCCAAGAAAGAAACAGTTAATAAGCTGGACTTCATTAAAATGAAAAACTTCTGCCCTATAAAAGGCACCATCAAGAGAATGAGAAGACAAGCCACAAACTGGATGAAAATATTTGCAAAAGCTACATCTGATAAAGAGCTATTATCCAAAATATACACAGAACTCTTAAAACTCAGCAATAAGAAAACAAGCAACTCAATTGAAAAATGGGTTAAAGACCTGAACAGACCTCTCATCAAAGAAGATATACAGATAACAAGGAAGGAAATGAAAAGATGTTCAAAATCATATATCATCAAGGGAAAGCAAATTAAAACAACAGTAAGATATCACAACAATAAGATACCTATTAGAATGGCGCAAATATAAAACAATGACAACACCAAATGCTGGTTAGGATGTAAAGCAACATTGTTGATGGGAGTGCAAAATGGTCCATCCACTTTGGAGGACAGTCTGACAGTTTCTTACTAAACTACACATACTCTTAACATATGATCTAGCAACTACACTCCTTGATAATTACTCAAAGGAGTTGAAAACTTATATCCACAAAAATTCGCACACAGATGTTTCATAATTGCCAAAACTTGGAAGCAAGCAAGGTGTCCTCTGTTAGGTGAATGGATAAATAAACTGTGGTACACTTAGACAATGGAATATTATTCAGTGCTAAAAAGAAATGAGCTATCAAACCATGAAGAGACATGGAGGAAACTTAAATACATTACTAAGTGAAATAAACCAATCAGAAAAGGCAACATACTATATGATTCCAACTGGATGACACTCTGGAAAAAGCAAACTTTAAAGACAGTAGTGACAAGAAGCTATGGATAAATTTATAGGCCACAGAAAATTTTTAGGGCAGTAAAACTATCCTGTGAAATACCACAATGGTGCACTTGAACACTGTCCAAGTTACTAGGAGAATAAAATAAATGAAACCCAGATCCTACCTAGGGGGGTGGGCATATAATTACATAATTATACTATACTGTGAGAAGTGTTATAATAAAGATATGTACAAGTATTTGTAACAGAACGTAAGGAGATATATAGTAGAGTTTCAACATTTAACTTATCTGCTGAACTATGGAAACTACCATCTGTAATGATGAGGTATTATTACATCAAATGAATACGTTAATTTTTATAAAATTTATAACTTAATAGTAATACGAAAAGGAAAAAAAACCTAAAGATAAATTAGTGCTATAGAATTCTTCACCTAGCCACTGTTCCACTGCTAGAGATTAGAAAGTTATCTTGAAAACAAATGTTTTTAATATCCAGACATCCGCATTTAGGCTGTCCTGGTATTTTTCCTTTATTCTAACTCAATAGTTCTCAATCTCTAGGAACTATAGGAATTAGTATGTTAGGGTTATAGACACACAAAATTTTATATATATACTATATTTTGTAGGCTAGCTACAAAATTTTTAAAAATTATTTTGACCACATAAATTTGCTGGCTTCATATGATGTTCTCTTAGCACTGTATTTCGTTTTAGGTATTCTCCCAGAGGATGTGTCAGTAGAGCAGAATCCAACAAGATAAAGCAAATTGTTTTAATTTAAATTTAAAATAAGCTCATTCTATAGCAAACCCAGAAATGGACTCACAAACGTATGGCCAAATAATCTTTGACAAAGCAGGAAAGAATATCCAATGGAATAAAGACAGTCTCTTCAGCAAATGGTGCTGGGAAAACTGGACGGTGACATGCAGAAAAATGAACCTGGACCACTTTCTTACACCATACACAAAATAAACTCAAAATGGATGAAAGACCTCACTGCAAGACAGGAAGCCATCAAAATCCTCAAGGAGAAAGCAGGCAAAAACCTCTTTGATCTTGCCCACAGCAACTTCTTACTCAATACGTCTTTGGAGGCAATGGAAACAAAAGCAAAAATGAACTACTGGGACCTCATCAAAATAAAAAGCTTCTGCACAGTGAAGGAAACAATCAGCAAAACTAAAAGGCAACCGACAGAATGGGAGAAGATATTTGCAAATGACCTATCAGATAAAGGGTTAGTATCCAAAATCTATAAAGAACTTACCAAACTCAACACCCAAAAAATAAATAATCCAGTGAAGAAATGAGCAAAAGACATGAAGAGACACTTCTCCAAAGAAGACATCCAGATGGCCAACTGACACATTGAAGTGGTGTTCTTAAAACCACTGAATGTCAAAATAGTTCTTCCCACCCAAACATGATATGATTATAAAAAGTAAAGACCCAGAATTCAGTAACACAGTAACTAATGAGGTCTTCTATTAAACATATTTATTAAAATAACTTGCACAAAGTAGGGACCTAATAAATTCTACTTGAATTGAATTGAATTGAACTGAACTGAATTGAAACACAGTATGCTTAATGGGGGGGAAGCCTAAAAAAAATGAGCTACAGTCTTCTGCCAACAATGTGTTTCTACAAATCAATCAGTTCACAAGTAGAGGAATTCTGCCAGTTAGAATGCAAAACTTGTTTTGGTTGATGTGTTGTTGTTGTTGTTGTTGTTGCTGTTGTTGTTGTTTTTCCAGGTAAAAACAGTGGAGGAAGAGGATTCCTCTTTAGCAGGAAAGAACAGTCTCATCTGGTAGCGGTACAGATAGGAGACTTTTTATTCTATATTATTTCAAATGAGTGTCTTCTCTCTTCTCCAAAGAGGTGCACCCCAGCCTTGAAATGTTCTTCTTTCTTTCCTCTGAGCTCCAGTTCCAGTTGCACTGTCTCCATGTTGGCCAGCCAGCATTTTCATTCTATTTTGCTTGTGAATTTGTAATATCCCCTGAGGCAGCTCCCAGCTGTTTAGTCTTCAGACACCATTCCTGTTTTTGTTTAAGTTCTGGTTCCAAAGCTGCATAGGTTTTAGGTGGTCTGCCCCAATTCTAATTCCCCATAAGCCTTGTTATTTTTAGAACTCAGTTTTTCAGAATTGGAGGCTTTTTGAGGAACATAAATTTCATGTTCTATTAAAAACTCCTGCAGTTATAAATAAATTACTCTCTTAAAAGAATGAATGAGTAGTGTGTTTTGATGATATAGGCCGTTAGGTTATTTCTCAACCCCAAAGGGTGTTGGGAGAGGGGAGGAGTTGGGATTTAATCAATTAGCTCTGTTATGGTTTGGATAACTTCGATATCCTCCCAAACCTTCCATTTGCTCTCATCTAGCCTTTTTTTCTGTTTCTAGAAAACATCATGTTAAACTCAGGGCTTTTGTAGATATTATTTCAATTCATTCAAGTCTCCACTCAAATGTCACCTTCTCAGAGAAATCTTTCCTGACCACCTTACCTAAGGCTGTACATCCCTGAACTTCTGTTCTAGCCCATTTCTCTTTTTCATTGTCTTTGTAACAACTTAATATTTCCCAACTTTTGTGGTTTGTGAGACCATGAAATCTTGGACCATATCTGCCTTTTTGACTAGAGACAAAGGCGCTCACAGCTGGAGGGATATACACAGTGAAAAGACACCCCCATCTCTACTCCACCATCCACCTACCTATGCTTCTAGTCCTACCTATACTGCTTTCCCTAATCACTTCTCATCACAGCCCTAGCCATTATTGAAAATTTAGGAGGAGCAATGAGTCTCTTAGCTTGGTCTCAGGTCATACCCTATCCTTGCCAATTCATTGATAAATCCTCAGTTTCTAGAAGACACTGGCTTCTGGGAGGCACTACAAAAATATTTCTTGATTGTATGGCATAATTAAAAGAAAAAATACTAATTGACAAATTAAGAGATTTTTCTCTGGCCATTTAAAATGATCTTTAATTAGCTGAATTTTGTCAATTTGTTTTTTTCTCCCCTGTGCTTCTCTGCTGATTGTCTCTCAATGCATTTAGATGGATAGACTTACCATACTTTCAGGTTATTTTTGTTTTCTGTGTCTTCTTATGGATCACTCTTCAGCTCTTTTCCCTGTTAGCTTTAATGTTTTTTAAAGAGCTGTATCATCTAAAGACAATGTTATAAAAACAAGCAGAGTTGAGTGAATGGATGCCTTACTGACTCAAACAATCTGCGTACAGTATGTTCTAGTAGAAAACCTTGCTTCAGAATAGATAATACACAACAGACTGGAGGATCTTAATGTCCATATTCAAAAAAAGTGTCAAGTCCATAAAGCCTTATGCTTTTATCGCCATAAAATAAGCGAAAGTAAACAGTCTCTAGGACTATTCTTTTAAATATACATAAAATGTATTATTTTTTCCCCTTCTCCTAATCCAAGCTCCAATTTCAAAGAATGATTTCCCAGGGAAGAGAATTATCTCTATTCTTGATGTGTAAAATCAAAACTATGCTGTAGTGGGAATTTACATTTAGATAGATTTTCCATAATAATAAATTTACTAATTAAGACATAAAAATTTAAGCCAAACAAATAGGCATTTTGGTCTATAAGGAACCATATGATATGAATATATATTTTGATTTTTGATTAATTATTATTTAGGTTAGTGCCATACAGCTACAATTGCAGTGATAAATATGGGCACTAGTTATAGTTGGTATCTTTCTTCATTCACCTGACATCACTGAGTAATTTGAGTCATGATTATAATGTTCAAATTTAACACCAATGAATTTTTCTGTGTAATTCATATACAAAAGCTCAGGCACATGGCACTTTGTTCTAACATAACAGGATCTTTAGGCCTCACCAGCTCCCACAGCTGTGTTACTGTCACATTCTAACGGGGCTACAAAGCCATTACTCTGTACACTGCCTTGCAACTAGAAAGAGCCCCTGTTTCTCTGAATAGTAATTTCAAATGTAAACAATACCTGTAAAACAAACTATTGGAAAACTCTGAGCCTAATGCAGCTGCAAATAAAAAAAGACCAGAAAATTGAATGTTCCCACTGCAATAACAAATGAATTCACTGTAGATGAAGCAGTTTCTATTAACTGGTGCCATGGGGGCTAGGTGGCTTAGCTGTCAAGAAATTTCCCATGGGGTTGCTACTCACAAATCAGTCCAACACTAATGAATCTCATCCTATTTACCTCACTTCTAAAACCATTATATAAATTGGTTCAATTGCATGGAGGATAAACACAGCAGGCTAGAGGATAAAAAAGGACAGGGAGAGAGAGCTTAGCATTAACACACACTGGAAATCCCACATGAAGAAATTTTCACCAGATCCACTACCTAAATATAAGTTAATAAATAGTAGTAGTAGTAGTAGCAATAGTAGTTAGTATTATTATTTGATGATGATGATAAGTAATATTTATTAAGCTGCTAAGATGTATCAGGATTTGTTCTACCAAGTGCTAAATGCTATGCATGTCAACTCCCTACTTATATAAACTCCCCTTGAGAGATAAAGGTAGGACTTAGGGAAGTTAAGTAACTAGTCAGGGATCATATAACCAGTAAAAAGCAAACCCTAAATTCCTTGCTACAACTCCAGAGTCTGTCCTCCTGTCATACTACTGCATAGAACAGATAAACATAAAAATATAATAGGAATGAAAAGTTTGGGTTTCCTTCTGGTGATGTCAG